CGGGGCCCGACAGCGGCTCAATGGGGACACAGCGGGACACGGCACGGACACAGCGGGGGGACAACGGGACACGGCACCACCCGCGCCCACCCGGGGCACCCCCGGACCCGCAGCCCCCCGGACCCGGGACTGCCGTCAGCTCCCGGACCCCAGCCCAGCCTGCAGCTCCCTCCCCATCCCCAGGGACTCCCCCAAGCCCAGACCCCCCTCCTGCACCCCGGGGATCCCTCGACCCTTGGGGTCTCCCCCCATCCCCGGACCCCTTCCCATCCCCGAGGGCTCCACCAGCCCTGGGACTTCTCCCTGTCACGGTCTGCAGCTCCAAACCTCACCCAAAGCAGCAGCAGGAAGCAGAATATTTATACATTTATTTATAATGAAAGTATGGTTCTAATTATTTACAAGAGATGGGAAAGGCGAGGTTTGTACAGGTGAGGCATCCCGGCTGTGCTGGCTGCAGCAGTGACACAGCCCCTTCTCAAAAACCACAGCTCCTGTCCCAAAAGCTGCCCAGTGCCTTGGAGCAGTGCCCTGTCAGTGCTCCATGCAAGAGTTCTGGCTGCACCAGCCCACCCCACTCAGTCCCCGGTGCAGTTCGTGTCCAAAACGGTCCAAAAACAACAGTTCAGAAACTCATTCCCAGGTTCTGCACATGAGGCAGGAGCTGCTGCCCTTGGAAAACCACCGTGGAACTTTCTGGCTCTGGTGGAATCCAGTGAATGAGGGAAGATCTAAGAATGAGCCTCTGGAAAAGGAATTCCTGCCGGGTGGGAGCGAGTCCTGGCGTGACTGGAAACAATTCTGTACAATTCTACAGTGCCAAGTCCAGCTGGGGCAAAGTGGATCTATCCAAAAACCTGAGCATCCCCCCCACCCCAACATCTGGCTAGAATGAGAACTTGTGGGATTGGTAAAGTCACATTTCAAAACAAAACCAAGCCGAGTTACAGGAGATGTTTGAATAAAAAGAAAGTTTTCGAAATGTGATGCTCAAGTTTTTCACAAGTGCTGGATGTTCCTTCCCTCTGGTCAAAGTCCAAAATCGAGGCTGAGTCACCAGTGGATCACTGGGGCTGACAGCAGGAGCACTCCAAAAATGCAAATGCAGAGTGAAGTCAGTGTCACTGACTCTTCCCTTTAAATTATCTGGGAAAAACGGAAAATATGGCCCAAGAGGCTTCCCTGGTTCCTCTTTACAGCATTTCTCCCTTGCACAAGAGACTAACCCCATCAGGATGCTATTCCAAATATTCCTTTTTAAAATTGACAAATACATTGCCAAAATGAAGATTTTTAAAAAGAAAGGAGCCCTTCCAAGGGGAAATTGGCTTCTGCAAATGTAAAAACAATGCACCTTTGCCAAGTTCAATTCTGGAATATACATGCATTATTGCTAGAGGGGAAAAACCAGATGAATGAAAACTCTTGTGCAGTTTTTATGGTGCCATCCAGAAGGGCATCTGTTGTTTAGCTCTCTGTTGTGAGGATGGGTACTGGTACCCCAAACTCCAGCCCTGTGAAAAAGTACTTGCGTTTTTATGGCCCCCGTGCTCCTCCTCTTCATCTGATGAATCTCCAGCATAGGCCACTAATCCAAAGCCCTTCTCTGCAGTTTTCATCTTCTTGGCTTGATGATCTAGGAGGGGAAAACAAAACAAACCCCCCCCCCCAACCCCAAAGAAGGAAAAAATAAAAACAAAACAAACAAACAAAAAAGAGATAAAATGCCCCAAAAACGAGTTAATAACAATAAAAAAAAAAAGATGTTAATTGTAAATTGTTAGTTGGACACCATTTTGAGGTCACAAGGCCAATGGTCATCCAAGGTCGAAGGCCACACGAAACAGCACCAGCAACAGCCATGTGATCCATCAGAACCATGTAAGAGAACAGAGAAACAAGAAAGAAACACACAGAAAAGGTCAAGTTAGCAAATGGCTCTCAGCGAGGGCAATTTCACCGTTAAAGAGATCAACACACAAAGAAAAGGAGAAACTTGGCTCAAAAAGGAAGCTAACAGGAGCAAGGCTGCAGAAAAACTAAGGTTAAGCAGGCTGGGTGATGTCCCTGCAGAGCTGCATGTCTGACCAAGAGCAAACCCTTGCTGAGTGACAGCCCCAGCAAAGATGAAATCTTTCAGCATTTGTGTTGTCTGCAGCCAGAAAGGTGTGAAATCCTCACCTAAAAGAATTCCTCAGTGCCTCTGAGGCAGCTGCTCACAGTGCAAAGCCTCAGCTGTGCCTCAAAACGACCCCACCACATTCTGTGCTGCCTGATGGATCAAACTCCCTGCCTTTAATCCCTCACTTAATTCAACTCCCCTCATTTTATACAGGTATTTATTAAAGCTTTGAGAAGCAACCTGTGTGTATAACCACAGTGGTTTTAGAGCAGTGTCACCTGCTTTGCACTTCAACAGCCAAAAAAAAAAAAAAAAGAAAAAATAAAATCACCAGTTTAGACACGTGTTAAAACCAGCACCAGCTCGTTTGGGAAAGGAAAATGGACTTGCAATGTTTTTTTGGGAAAGAAAACTGGACCTGCAGGGGTGTTTTTGGAGAAAGAAAACTGGACTTGCAAGGGTTTTTTTGGGGAAAGGAAAATGGACCTGCAAGGGCTTTTTGGGGAAAGGAAAATGGACCTGCAAGGGTTTTTTGGGAAAGAAAACTGGACTTGCAGGGGTTTTTGGGAAAGGAAAATGGACTTGCAAGGTTTTTTTTGGTGAAAGAAAACTGGACTTGCAAGGGTTTTTTGGTGAAAGAAAACTGGACTTGCAAGGGTTTTTTGGTGAAAGAAAACTGGACTTGCAAGGGTTTTTTGGGAAAGGAAACTGGACTTGCAGGGGTTTTTGGGGAAAGGAAAATGGACTTGCAGGGGTTTTTGGGGAAAGGAAAATGGACTTGCAGGGGTTTTGGGGAAAGGAAAATGGACTTGCAGGGGTGTCTGAGCTGTTGCACTCACCATGGCTGCCTGGTAAAGACCCCACACCTTTTCTTTCTTCTGATTCCGATTTCATTCCAGTGACAGGAAAAGCTGGTGGAGGCATCAACTGCCTGTTTAAAGGAATGGTTTTGGGTTTTTAAAGCAAGCTAAGAGTCAAAGGTAATAAAAACCAAAATTCCTGTAAAGGTATTTTTTACATAATAATCAAAATTCCATTCTCCCAAAGGACTAATCACTCTAACATCAATTACTATTTTAGAGATAGTAAACTAAGTTGTTTTCTGTATAAAAGAAAAAAAGGGTGTAGAAAAAGGGAAAGTGGTCTAAATTTTTATTCTGGTTTTCTTTTTCTTCTAATTTCTAATAATAAAGTTTCTCTTTGTACCATTTAAAGTTTAAGCCTGTTTTGCCTTCCTCCTAATCCTATCTCACAATAAAAAAAAAATTTCAAATTACTAAACCAAAACCACTACAACCCTTGGCCTGAGGAGTTGAACTTTAAATTCCCTGACTCACTCAGTGACTGGATCCTCTCCTCTGCCAACATTCTTAGCTAAAATGGGGCAGGAATGGATTGGATGGATGGGCTAGAGGGGGATAAGGAACTGCCTGGATGGCCACAGCTCAATGTCCAAGGTGAAACCAGTAACAAGTGCTGGCCCTCGAGGGTTTTGTTGGGGCCAGAAAATGTGACAGTGGCAAAATACCACACAAAGAGAAGTGGAAATGAAGTTATTTTCATTCTGTAGCATCAAAAGGTAACCCTAGCATCCATTCTCCTTAAAAAATCCAACTCAAAATACAAAAAAAAAAACCAAAAAACCCACCCACAACTCTTGGATTTTAGAAATTTGGGGTTTTTGAGTTTTTTGGTATTTTTTGGTACTGATCTTTTGGAGAACACTGTTTTTGACCTGAGGCCTTGGAGAAGGCTTCCAAATTTGAGTGATGAAGTTAAAATCACGGGTGTGTAGTTAAATAGAAGTGTGTGATTGCACATGGTGAAGAGTTTTAAATTTGAAGTTTTTATAATATAGTAACAGGTATGGGACAAGATGGAGGATTTTGGGTGTTGTCTCTTTGGGTGCTCATCTTCCTTTTTCCTCGTGGTTTCAGGCAGTAGTTTCTGACTGGACAATTAGTGTCACACTGAGGGACATGGGAATTTAGATATTGAGTTAAAAGTATCAATAATATAATAATAATAAATAATATAGGTGTTAATTCTCTATTGGACTGTTCAGCTTGTAGCAGCTGGATTCATCTCCATTTTGCTCACTTTTAGCTGGTGGCTAAAAGTGTTACAGAACTTTCTGTACTTTTGGTAAGATTTAAGCCTGAACACGAGAAAATCCATTTCTTTCATGCATTTTTTTAATCCTGACTCTGAGCAAAGACAGAAGAGACTCCACACAAAGCATGAATGAAGTGGTGTCAGACACACCATGGCACACACAACCAAGGCACAGGGGAGAATGTGGAACATGACATGAAACAAAAAGGAGCAGGAGAACCTGGCCATGCTCTCCTCACTCACC